GTTGAAAATACGCTAGATCGTGCGGAAAAAAGCTGAATTGGCAACACTGCTTTACATTAATCTGGAGTTAAACTTAATATTCGAATTGAGATTTGGAGAAACGTTGAAGGTTGTCCACACCGAATTGAAGGAAAAGCTGAGATTTGTAATTGGCTGAATTAACTGATTAATTCGTCAAAACCCAACAATATCCTCTGTCTTCTGATAAATTTCATCTCTCAAATTCACATAAAGTCAATAATGAACTCTACCCAAGTAAGATATGGGAAAATTGGAGCCTTTAGAATCCAAATTTTTACCCTTTCAGCCCGAACAGTATAGTTTAATGAAAGCTCAACATGATTTCTTAACTTGAGTAAATTGGAAGCCCAGCTCATAGGTTTTATGCAAGTTGCGGAGGGCATTAGCAACGAGCTCAATTGCCAATTGCTCACCTGCAAAGAGCATGTCGGGCGAACATTGCTTGCCTTAAAAGGATACAAGCGCTTCGAGCACTAAGTTCAGTGAAGTGGGGAGCCTCACGGAAACTATTACGTAAAATATACTGTATGTGACATTCATACTAAGCAAGATGGAGTATGGCTCAACAATGTTATTGGACATTTCGAAGTAATTGTTTGAACAACTTGAAATTGTTCAAAACTTTGCCCCCGATACATCCCGGGAGCTCGCCGTACTACACCTATAGTGTCGCTGCAAGTTGAAAGCTTCATTGCACCTTTGCAAATAAGATTCTCACATCTGTTCAATAAATGGGTTTTGAGATATTTGCACATGCCTGCAGAAGAGCAAGTACCCTACATTCTGGGTTTCTCCGACCGGGGACTTCATGGTGACACTTTAGACATTAGGGCAGTGGTTCCCAAACTTTTTCAGGCTGGCGCCTCCTTTGGCTCCCTAATGAATTTCCAGCGCCCCCCACAGACACAAATAAAATCATACGCCTCTTTCTATAAAATTTAGTACGCTGCAATTTTGCAAGATAAAGGTTATACACAAATGTGTATTTCACAAATAAAACCCCTTTTAGTGAACCAATATGTTTTTCAGCTGTTGTAACTGTTTCAGTACTAGAAACCTAGCACGTCTCGGGCAAATTTACGGCCCGGACTCGTGGCCGGACTCACGACTAATCTCCAAATTCAATTATCAAGTAATATCTCCCAAACTAATGAACGCAGCTCACTAAAACTTGGAATATGTATTCATCAAAACTTAACGGTGATGTTTAGCGTGCGAAAAATTTTTAAATATCACTTTCATTTGTGAGTTATATTGCGATACAGGCAGAAATTCGCAGTGATCAAAGAATTTCTTCCAAACTACCGAACAGATTTTAATGAAATTTTGAATAAACATTCCTAACTAATAAATGGTGTTTTTAGATTCTACAAAATTTTTGATTTTACCCTCGTTTGCGAGATTTTGTTTTTTCCTTTCACCGTCATTCTTGATTTCACACTTCCTTATTCGCTTTCGTTCGCAAGTTATACAGATAGGAGGAACGACCGGCTTTTCTACCGGCTATTTTAACCAAGAGCCGTTTACGTATAGCCGTATAACTCGCAAACGAAGGCAAAGCGAAAAAATGTAACTCAGTACTCACTGCAGTGAGTGACAGAGAGCGCATTTTCTCGTCGACGAAAACTTGAGGTCACGGACGGACAGACGGACAGACTCTTATATAGGCTAGAGTCGCGCACACTTAAGCCTAACCCTCGAAGTAACGCCACATTCCTATAATGGAATTTCCCTCGCCAACGTTCGATGCTTCCCACGGTCTCGCAATAACGGCCCGCATTCCTAGCATTCTTAACATCTACGCATAATACATGTTCAATATTACCTATGTTCAATATTACCTACTTTATTCACTACGAACCCGTGCATGTTGGGCAGCCAAAATTATACAACATTTACCAAAATCTGCAATTTTCCCAGACAGCAAACAATAGACAATAGAAGGTACAACAACTACAACCTCACAAAAAGTAGATTAGGTATAAAAGGTACGGCAATTATAACACCACATACAGGAGATAATGAAAGGTACGACAGCTATGACCCAGCAAACAATAGATAACAAAAGGTACTAGATAGATAACCCCGCAAGCAGTACATTCTAAAATGTACGACAACTATAACCTCACCAACAGTAGATTATAAAATGGACGACAACTATAACCCCGCAAACAGAATATTGAAAAATGTACGACAACTATAACCCCACAAACGGTATATTATAAAATGTACGACAACTATAGCCCCGCAAACGGTAGATTATAAAATGTACGACAACTATAACCCCTAGGCATTGCGAGCTCAGCGGCGGCGGCGGACGCTCAGAAGGCGCGTCTGGCAGCAGAGAGCTCCAGCCTCTACGCGCCTTCGCGTAATTCTTCAGCGCTCTCAAAAATTCCAGGTACAAAAAACATAAAAGGTTATCAAATGAGTTTTAATTGAAGTTTACCAAAACATCGAAAAATTCCCTTGCTCCGAATAATATGGGTTTTTTAATTTCTCGGCGAGGTGCAATCACTCTAGGCCAAAATACGCCAGACAATGCCTGCACGAATAGCACTGGAGAGACAGCGGGGATCGAGAGTGTAACTGAGCCGTGCTCTATAATTGCAGAGAACGCTTCGGACATTTACCCGTACGCAACGTTCCGGATGGGCGTGGCGGGGAGTGACGATGAGGGCACAGCGAGCTACCAGACGCTCGTGTACCAGGTGAGGGGTAGTGCGTTGTACTGAGGGGTGAATAGAAGGGCGAGGGGAGACATGAATAGAGGGGTGCGGGAGAGATGAACAGAGGGGTGAGGGGAGACACGAACAGAGGGGTGAGGGGAGAGATGAACAGACGGTAAATAGATAGATGTGAGAGAAAGATGTCTTGTGAAGATGTCGAGGAAACAGACTAGGAGCTAAAAGTGCACCATGAGCCGCGTGAATGACGATAAATAACCACAATAATTTCTGTATTAAAACAACCAATTGTAAACGAACTCCCCACATTGCCCCCTCCTCCTTCAGCAGAGCGGTGGGGCCGGCGGAGGCTCGTCCGTCTACTCGGGGCGCAGCGGTCGGATGGTCCACCGGCCGCGACGGGGGCGGTCCAGCGCGCGGTGCGTCGTCTTAGGGCTTGACTGCCTCACCTGCCTCAGTCTCTTGACAAGCGAACTATCACAATTCTGGGGCCATACTAACAAAACTCGCTTAGGAATTCGTTTAACTTAAGTACACTTTGAGGGCTTAGTACACGTAGCGGCCAATTTTTCGTCTGTGATTGGTGGGTTTACCTTTAAAAGTAGTAAGTGATTGGCTGACTGAGCAACGAATTCGAAACTATTTACGATAGTGCGGCCTTCTGCATGGTACTGATTGCCATGCCAAAGAAAATCATTGTTCACAGATACGAATTCCTCCCACGCGGGATGGAATGAGTGCTGCTCATGTCAACTTCAAGCACAATCAGTTGCAGGTCTAATCAGTTAGCTGCGAGATATCGCGCTATTCAATAACAAAATGAAAAAGTGCAGCTTGTAAACTCAAAAATAATTTGCGGTATTCTGTGTATTTTACTTACCTTGTGGGAGTAAACCGAGGGTTCGCACAAAGGTTAGATTTGGTTCGATTTTTCTAGATCGAATTTCAGTAGGTGATTATAAAATTTATTCTTGGATTTGGTGAGACTCCGCTTCTTCATTTCAAACTGAAGTTAAGCGGCATGCAATTGTCTTACTATATTCGTAAAGTTGCCCTTATTGTAAATTCAGTACAGATAAGCGACACGCAATTGTCGTACTATGTTGGTAAAATTGCCCTTATTGTAGTTCCAGTGCAGATTTTAGAACGTTTTAGAGAGATTTTAAGAAGTTATGCATGATCGAAAATAATTATTTTACCACATACTAAAAAGTTTTTTACTTGTGCATAAAAATTACCAATGCCATTGAATTAATTTATTTTTTACTCACATCTCTTGGTTCTTATGTTGATATAATGCAAAATTTACAGCAATTTTCTGATTTGTAGCACGGAGTCGAACCAGCAACTAGACAGCACCCTCGAGAGTCATGCTGTGCTGCATGCTCCTGAGCAGCACGCTTATCAGCACCACAAGCAGCAACAAACATCGTTATCATCGTCAGCATCGTCCAAATATCAGGAATATCAGCAACAAATACAATATCAGCATAAACAGCATCGAAAAAGCAGAATGATGGGTAAAGATACAATATAATTATTTTTCTAGGGAAAAATTTTAACATAAACAACTGAAACGTTCAGAATTGCTAATCATGGTTTATATTTCTTACTTGGAATGACGTATAATTTTTCCAATAATCTTATTCAATTAAATTTTTGTCATTCATTTTGTATTACATATAAATTTGTGAAATATTCCCAATTATGATTTTTAAGCAGGGCTCATTATTAACGTCTGGGCTCAATATTTAAAAAATTTTGGACCTGAAAATGAATTTTTTCTGTTTCAGTTCAAAATTACCTTACGCTGTTCTATTTTTCAGAACATTTTTATCATCTTTTATATATGCTATTTGTTGGTTGATAGGCTAAATCACTCTGAAAAATTAATTGATTTGTCATAACTCATGAAACTGAATTAATGCATTCTTAAGATTATATATTTTCAGCGCTTTTATTGATATAATAAAATTTTGTATCCAGAGCCCGGTGGACTGGACAACTCGACGTACGGAGCGACGGGCGCCCCCCACGACCCCCGCAGCGACGACTCCAGCACCTACGGCGGCATCGCCCTCCCGCACAGGTTCTTGGTGCTCTAGCAGTTACTCAGTTGGTTTAAACAAAGATATACTACTTTGAAACTTTATCAATGACTACTTACTCACTATCTTGAGGCTTGGTTATCGAATTGATGATATTTTACCCTCCGCGAAAAATGGAGCCATTTTTTAAAGTAATTGCGGGGTGATAGAAAATAAGTCAATTAATGTTAATGTTGACGACATTTGTGAGAGGTGGCATGCTTTCATGTCTATTGGGGCATCTCAAATTTTAACATTTGTGAGAGAGGCGACATGAAAATTGGCACAACCATGAAAATATCAATAAAATACGACACACACTCTCGTATAAAAAACGCAGCCAATGGAAGATATTCAAAAAGGGCGCCAAATTTCCCAGCTTCACTCTTTAGTTCATATTCATTTCTTTAGGTAAGAACGCTATAGGGTAAGAACGCCTGACTCTACTGGCCTAACCTACTCTTGTTGTGATATTTCTACGCCCAAAACAAACCTGAACGGGCTTACCTTAACCTAATTGGCTGCAGGAAGTTAAAGCGGTGGAGAAAATGCGTTGGTGGATACAAGAAGGATACGAGTCGGTGCAGCGCGTGAATAGGTTAGGCCAGCAGAGTCAGGGCCGGAGTGTAGGATGCAAATCTGATTGCCTATGAGCGAACATGCTTACATATTGGCTGTATACCTACGGCGCTATAATCTTTAAGCAGTGTTCCACTGGTCTGAATTCCGGTCTTCCAGCGTAATCTGCAGCTTATAGCTCAGAGGCAGAAAGTATTTATGGCATGTTTAGACTGTGCTGGCATCAGGGAATATTGAAGAGTTAAATTTGTGGTCCGCAACTGCACCTTCATTCAAAGCATAATTATGAATAAAGATGGCCGGCTCTGCCTTTAGCCACTAATGTAACAATTCAATTAGTCTCGGAAACATCGCTCAGTCTCAGTACGAAATAAATACACTCAGATTCCGAACTCGAAGTAGCATATATGTAATCGTACCCTGCAATAATGTAACTCAGACCTGTGGCACCCTGCATAAAGATAATATCGCCGTAGGTCTACAGCCAATATCAAGCATTGTTCCTCGTAAGCAGGCAGTTGCGCAACCGAGGTCACCTACTCAAAGCCTAGCCTCTTCTGGCTTAACCTGCTCACTTGCCCCGCCTCTCCACCTCCCCGCAGTCCATTAGATTAGGTTAGGTCCGTATTGGTTTGTCTCGGATGGAATCGGAGCTACGTGAGTAGTCGAGGCGAAATTCAGAACTGCTTGCTTATGAGAGAGCATGCCTATTACTTAATTAGTGGCCTTATACTTTAAGACGCTAATACTGTAAAAACTTCACAGGCTTTAATAATGTCTTAGGCTATTAGGCCCTTTAGCGTGCTAACTCATGGAAAGAAAAATGAACTGGAGAATGTTGTAAGGCAGAACTGACTACAGTGATACGCAACTGAATAAAGTGCACGACATGTCGAGGTTGCGCCATAGGTGATGGTAAAGTAAAAATTTCAAATAACAAAACAAAGTATCCTGATTCCAGACATGTATCACCAAATGATGTAAAGGCACAGATATGAATTACATCTATTTCCTATACACGCCTCCTCAGATTCAGCATGGACGGCGGCGACTCCCTGGACGCACTGGACTCTAGCACCTACGGTGTGCACCTGCCGTCTGCGTTTTCTGACGTCCGCCAGCCGTCTGAGGCCGAGTGCGACCTGTACATGGGGGCGAGCGCCAGGCGGGGAGCTGCTGGGGTCAGGGCGGACCCACAAGAGAAGAACAGCGTGCATTCATCCTCCACAGAGAAGTCAACCGTTATTCTGGAGCCTAAGAGTGCGGATGGCAAACATGAAGAGGTTGCTGCCGATTTGGAAGTTTCTAAAGATTCCTCAACTCGATGAACTTAGTGTATTTTTCTGTTACGTATATAGTAGTGCATAGTAGTGTACTTTCTGTTACGTATATTGCTGACAGTGAATAATCAGTGAGCATTTTTTCATTCTTTCCGTAGTTGTTTATAATCAATGTATCATACGCAAATGAGCACCTTAGATTGTTTACATCTGCAATATTTTGGTCTTTCTTACGCTAGAGACAATCCGAAATAGACTTAAACATCATATAGTGAATAAAATTGGCTAGGTTCAACTATTGGCATTGGCTTTGGACATATCTGGAAAGCGCAGTTCAAACGATGTTAACATAGCTCGAAATAAGTTAGGACAAACTCTTCACATGAAATCTTCCGGAATGGATTAAAGCATCTGAAATTATTTGAATGAATCTATAATATTAGACCAGACCAGGTAAATTTTGAATAAGACCAGATAAATTCCAACTTCATTCAATTGCGTTCGATTTTACCGTGGCTTTTCATACACTTTTGTCTATATTTTCTCTTTTAAATTTGTCGGTCAAAGCATTTGCTTTGACCGACAAAGATGATGATCTTTGATGATGCCCGATCTCTGGGGCATTACGAGTATATAATACAACATTGTTAAATCTCTGTATTGTGTGCAGAAGGATAAGTTGAGAATGCCAAGAACTTTTCATTTTACTGCCGTTGCCAAAAAATAGTTATATATGTTTTAATCTTGTGTGACTTCCAATCATAATTTTACATGCGAAGACGGGTGGAGAATATGAATGAAGTTAATGAAAAAATTATTGGATGTGCGATTTTACTCATAAGATTTCCTGTACCTCAATTATTTTTAATGTATAAAAATGACAATCTACTCGAATACTAAATATAAGTAGACTTATTGCACCTAACTATTAAATTAAAATTGTACCTAACTATGAAATCCATGAAATTAATTTTGTGTTTGTGATGTTTTTGTAAAATATCTATTATATAGTTTACCAATTTTTTTTTTGAATATTTTTCGCTGCAAATTGTAGACGTACTCCGCGCCTGAATTTCAAGCACGGTGTACGTTCGATGAATTTTCAAAAAGTTTGTGGAATTTTATTCTGATATTTTAGTAACTGATGTTGTGAAATATTTGACGATGGCATAATTCATAATAATCAAGTAAATTATAGTAAATTCATTACCAGGTAAACGATAAGACTACAGGAGCAAATTAGCAGGAATTGGTACATTTCTGCTCAAGTTAGAGAGTTCAGATTTATTCCGAGAGATTGGATGACAATTTTTACGTAATATGAGAGATTCCGTTGCAATATTGTTCATCTTTCTTAGGTTTAATGTAGCTTAGAGCCGCGCAAATAATCAGTGTTACTCCCCTGCACCATAAATGAGCTGCCTAACAATCAGGAGATCCATTTATGTTACACGATCTATCCATCCTTATAACGAAGCAGCAAAGTGACAGAAAAATATTTTGCGCATTCATGAATGCTTATATTAAAACTTTCAGTAATGCATACTTATTCGATCATGTGGTAGTTGATTATTGTATGAATTTAGTGTGGCGCTGGCCTATAACATTAAGTTATCGTCTCATATTTAGTTTACAAACTTTGATCCTAATACTTAATTTCGTGCGATAACTTGTGATTTTTCATTTCGTGTATCAGGTCTCCATTTTTCCTTACCCGGGTATAACTAGTTTTACGACACAAACGACATTATTTAGATTTAAGTAGAGTCATACCGAATATTTATAGAATTGATGATTGTAATTTCTGAGACCGAGTTGCTGGCTCATACCGGTATACGTTAGTTTTTGTCAATATTTTAGTGCTCAAAATTTTAGAGAAAATAATGCTGTTTTCAAGTTGATTGACAATTTATTTTCAATTTTGATTTTAATTCTATGCTTCACATTTACAGCTACGTAACTAGCGTAACGCTAGAAGCTGGCCAGCTTATTTATAAGGACCAAATTGCTGACAATATAAGGTGACAATTGCTGACTCCTATATGCGATGGCTACTTCTAAGCGGAAAATTCACTGTTAAACAACTTTCGAGATGACGTTATTTCTGATAAACAATTTCGAAGAAACGCTTCAGTTAGGCTTATTTACGTAAAAATTTTGTAATTTTTCGAATAGACTTACGGTTTTGAGATTTATGTCCGTCGCTCCTTCCGTTTTCTCCAAGAAGCACAATGCTCAGCAATGGCGTTTCCACGCACCCGTTCTCAGTTAGTTTCTCAGTTCATGAAGGTTACGTTCCCTGAGCTTATAACCTCGTTAGAATTACAGTGTTGATTATATATAAGACTTGTTTCCACTCTCACATCCGTTTACCATGATAAGAATACGACAGAATTGTTATTGTTGCCATGAATAAGTTTAATTTCCCTGTATAAATTAGTAATAGCTGGTCGACTCTACGTTCCTTGTTAGGTTTACTGAAGTGAATTCCAGCATCAACCATGATAAAAAACGGAGTACGATAAAAACCTGTTGCTAAAAACTTATGCTATCATTTTAACAAAAATACTAAATGCCTCGAACACCAATTCGATCTGACATTATTTCATTGGCTTCATGTTTAGGATTTGGAAAATTTCCATCTATTGGCGGTTTTTTACTATGACTTCGAGTTGCTTAGAATCACTAAGTGATTCTTTGACCGGGAGGTTTTAGATTGCTATGTTAACTCATCGTAACTGCACTTTTTGCTCTTTCTATTATAATTAGAAAAATAATGGATATACCTCATTAGTTATTGTATAGACTGGCTTTGATGCACACCTAAAAGGAGAACTGTACTTGTTATTTATAATTTATACTCATCAAGGCTTACATTACTGCTGCAATATTGGTAGCTAACTACCTTCGTGTACAATTAACATGTTAATTGAGGAAAATTGAAGGCATTGCCAATAGTTTCTTCCCTCATTTATTCACGCTGCATCGCATTTAGTGTCATGGACTGACCGACCATATCGCGGACAGTTACTGCATTTCACGCTAATAAAACTTGGCAGGTTACCGCTTTTTGTTTGAGTTTTCATAGGTGGGTCCTTGGCGTGTGGAAGGATGTCAGCAATTTAATGGTCATCAATTTGCTTGAAATTTTCCGGTACGGATCCCAGATATTTATAACGGTCAACCAGAATGGCGCATTTAATCTGATAATCATGCCGACGCTATGATTAACAACAGAGCCTACAAAAATTTCCTCGAATACATATCTTTACCTTACCAACTATATGAAAAATGTTACCCCCTGTAATTTGTGTCCCGTAAAATTTCTCTCCACTGACCGCGATGAACGGTATGTTGCAGACATCTGTTGGTACTTATAAAACTTAAATGATTTTTGACTTCTGTGAAATGTTTCTTTCATGTGGTCTGTATCCCTATGCAAAATATTTTCATTTATATTTATGTAAAATATTTTGATGAGGTTTTTACATCATTGTGAAGTACAGGTAAATCATTGTGTCAATAAAACTATTCGATATGTCCATTGGTATGGAATCCTTACCTGTAAATTGCTTATATTCATTTTCTATCAATATTGCCTTCGTATCAAGGTTCATGGGATGATTGTCGGCTGTCGGCCGTTGATATTATGCTCATAATTTTTACAGTTTCGGTGCCCCATAAACCTACATTCAATAGTAGACTGCATATTTATTTCAAAACTTTACGGACAATATAGATTAGTTAGCAATCAATCCAAACTCACTGGTCATTAAATCTGTAATTTTCGGGTTGGTTACAATATTTTAGGTCCTAGTTGAGCGCATAATTAGAGTGAAAAGTGTAATTTCAGAGACTTCAATCAATCAACACATTTATTGTCAGTAGTAGTTTGATAAGTTTTTGATTGAAAATTATAAAACTGCATAAAAAATGAATATATGAAGGCGATGAAATCTACGCCAGAGAATGAAATCTACATAAAGTGAGACTTTTGGAGTGATAATAATAATAACGATAAAAAGTCCACTATTGACGACTCACCTACCCATCGAAATTGTTTAATCCAGTGGCAGCGTGTGAATTGAATTAAGCGCCTCGCCCTGAATTGAATTAAGTTCAAGTTTTTTATGCAGCGACTCAGATGTGACGGATGTTTAAAAGGAATTTAATATATTTTTCAGTCCACAAAACTGCAGGTTTCTTAACGTCCATTAAAATGAGAGACCTTCAGAGCGAATGTCGACCAAATGTCCTGCATAGCTACTTTCCCTACATAAAAGTACAGCAGAACCTGTTCAGTTTATTATTTTGAATTAGAGTCTGCTGACCTTGGGTCATTGTCTCTTATAAGTGCTGGTAATATTAGTTGCATTGTTGTGGTTGAGCAGTTTTCAAAAAGGGTTACAGCCGTGTCTCTCAAGAACATAAAAGATTTCATCGGCAATTTAGGCTTTGAAGCATCAAATTTTTCTATTTCTCTCGCAAATTCCAACTGTTCTGGCTAGAAATTCAGGAGCCAACAAAATCTAGCCAGGCAAGAACAAATTAAAAGAGACGTCATTGAACTTTGACATCTCGCTTTAGTACTTATCCGCACATGAATTTACAGGTGCGGAGAAAAGGTGCAATGAATATTTATTGCACCTGTATATTCAATGAATGAGTATACAGATATTTGCAAAAAGTATCCGACACAAAAGAAAAACTTTATTTAATTCAGCTTATTCAACATAAAAACATAAACAAACACTATTCCTATGTAAATTTACATGGCAAATACAAATATCATATGAAAACAACAATATAGATCATTTAATGTTGACTTGATAATTGCAATTTTGTAAAAGACACCGGCACATCAGAGGCGGAGGGGGGAGAGGAGGGGTGTTAGACATGATGGCATCTAACGAGGCTAAGCTGCCTCGTACCTGTTGTTCCGTAGCGTCTCTGACCAAGTTTTTGCCTACCCAAGTTGTGGTATATTAATATAATTAGGTCATTTTATTTATAAAAATTTAAATAATATATGTTCTATTTATAAGAAAAGAAAACATTACTTTTTTTTGCACAAAAATAATTATAATTACGTCCTTGAATCGGATAAGTAAAATAAATAAACTTTTTGTTGGCAGTAGCCAAAGTTCATTGATGGCATATGTGCTTGTGCGAGGGTGTAGTGTGGTGCAGCGCGACACAGGCCTGTGCTCGCATGATATTCCTGTGTAGTCACGCCGGCCAGACGTAAGATAGTCAGCCCTCACGAGTCACGGCAGCAAACGGGTAAGCTCGCTTTGGAGTTCGGCCGGGTTTGACTACCCGCCTTAAGGATCTGGGGACATACCTTCAAAACTCGCTAAGTGAACGTAAGTACTTACGCTCTATTTTCTTGGTTATGATTGGTGGAATTGGCTTGAAAGGCCGTCAATGATTGGCTGATAAACATACGATCTCTTAACTTTTTTTGAAAGTATTGGACCTGACTGGTAGGGCAGGTAGGCCGTCACAGACCTTGCACCAGTATAGTGCAGACTCATCCAAAGTAAAACCTAGCATTTTCAAGCAAAAATACGCTAAAAGTTCAAACTTTTTGGCTGAAAAGATTATTTTACCTGCAGTTTACTTACATTTTTCCCGCTAAATCTAATTTTTTCCCTTTGAATGCGTTGAAAATACGCTAGATCGTGCGGAAAAAAGCAGAATTGGCAACACTGCTTTACATTCCTTTTGTTATTAGAGCTCAGGAAAGCCTCCGAAAGTTGGGCCTCTCACACTCACTCGTCGTGCTGCAACTCCTCTGAGGATTCCAATTTCTCCTCGAGTGGATCTTGCATCAAACATACTTCTTAACTTACAAGACAATTTCTTGATTAATATGCCACATCAAATTATCCAGATCTGCTTCTCTGACTTTCTCCTAGAACACTATCCAAATTTAAACAGATGACTCTAAGTCTGATGATGGGTCAGTTTTGGCTGGGCTTTTTGTTCCATCGGCCAATTTGGCGAATGGTTGGTTACTCCGACGAGAGCACACGGTTCTTGGTGCTGAACTGTTTGCATACACAATGCCATGCAGCTTGCCACCGAGGATGTATCAATGAGGGAGGAGCCTGTTTTGATTTTTTCAGGTCTGCTTTGCAGCTCATATAATACTCAACTGGGCACGCATATAGCACAATTGTCTTCAAGATACAGGAGTTTATTCTTGTCAAGGGACTTGACAGCGTGGTTATTTTCTAGATCAAAGGTCGCAGTGGTATCCATGGAAATGAGGTGGCAGATAGGGTAGCAAACCTTGCACATTCTAACACCCGCTCAGCAAGATCTCAACTGTCCTTTGAGGAGTGGATCTGCTTCTCGAAGTCACTGACCTGAGATATCCTATGTAAACCATGGATCGCTGCCACGTTCAGTTGAATGCGTTGTGTCACGTCTGCGCCTGGGGCATGCTGGTGTCAACGCTCATTTGGCCAGATTCAACTTAGCTGACTCCAGTAATATTGTCCAGCATGCAATATGGAGGGCACAACACAATCAGACACCTCATCCTGCACTCCTCAGCTCATGAGGGTGGTGATGGCCTAATGAAGAGACGCACCGCTGCCATCCGTCATCTTTGACAATATTTGCTTAGCTGCAATATGGTGACCAGGCTGTGAATGTTCTTCATAGCCTAATAGTAATTTTCCTCTATCACAATTTTACTGCCGCACTGGCTGGTGAAAGTGCTAGGAGTTGAAGAAGTGAAGTGAACTGTCCAAAACCCGCTGTGCTCAGGCTGGGAGGTGTGCTGCCTGCATGCCCGAAGCCTCAAATCAAATTTAAAATAATTACCAATTGTTGACAGTGCCCCTGAGCAAATAATACGAACTCACAATTCTAATTTGAGATTGTGTTAAGAGTCCCGGATTACCTAATGTTGAATTTGGTGTATGCGGAATAGAGCAATATTATAACTACTGAGGAAAGTGGTTGCTCAAATTTTAGAATCAATTTCTTTTCTCTATACGAATTCTGAATCAATTCATGTGAATTGTTAGAGGTGTCCAGTAACGATGTTGGTTCTCTAGAAACATTCAAGTTCGAAGGGGGACCTTATACTCGGCAACACAGGGTTCTCCATTTCGTAAAAGTTGTAGTGAACTGGATAAGAAAACTATCATGAATTTTGAAATTTTCTACGCATAAATGGGTAATTCTTCAAAAAAGGCTCAATCACTTCTACACACGAGGCTCAACTTGAGTGCAAAGTAATATTTACTTCTAATTCGTAACGCTGCGATTCTCAGGGAACGAGGCAATTGAGTTAATATTGAGTAGGCAGCACGTTAAAATATAGAGACAGTGAAATTATGATCGACTATGACGGTAGATCACTTCTGTTCAGCTGGGCAAAAATAACTCTTCTTATGTTGGGAGATTTAGATATGGTACTGGAAGTGATTTTACATGGAGAATAAAGGAATATTGGATTAACATATATATTTTATAATATATTTCCAGCTGGATCATAAATAAATTATAAAAAGCAAGCTAGAAGGCAATTGTCCAATAAATTATAAACCACCTTGAAGCAAAAACGGGCAAGGAGCAAGAACTTTGCACAAATGATGTCTCAATGAGCACGAACACTGCGCCACTCTTCTTCATGCAGTATTTGCATACATTCATCTGTAATTCGCAAGAATGTATATATCGATGCAACGCACAGTCGGCACCTCAGTTCAGTTGGCGTCATGGACGTGTTCTTCGCCGGCGTGACTGCGCGGCGCAGCGCCCACCACGCGCTCGCTGAAGCAGCCGCGCGCCACGGACCTGATGGAGTTGTCGGGCAGGCCGAGCTCGCTCAGCTGAGGGCCAAAGCCAAATATAAGGGGCCTGATGAACTGGCGCTTCATACAATCCGAATACTTGTATTGTAAAATTTAGTTTGACTAGAAAAATCGTTTTTAGAAGTACTCAGTCAGCACCTTTTCATGCCAAATTTTCTCTTTAACTTACTTCAAATTAATTAGCTCGAACCGCGAGAATCAGTCAAATAATGTGGAAGAAATAATTATATAACATCAAATTAACTAAGAAAGGATGTAAGATCATCAATCGTGAACGAACAAAAAATTTTCACGTTGTAAACGACGATATAAATGATTCTTGAGTAAAGTTTATGGATGGCGCCCGGGACTTTCTAGCCAGATTTTTTAATTTCATGGAGCTCATTTGCTTCATACCCCAAATTACCTTGCTTTAATTTCGCGGTAGTTATTTTACTGAACTTTATGTCTGAAAATTTCTCGTCATTCTTGATCAGTAGTTCAAAATTTTCATCTTATGCGATAACTATAAATAATCAATATATAAAGTTTGAATTTATACAACTTAATTATTTCACTGTTTTTCCTTTCTCTAATTTCATTTCTCTAAGTCTACAATTTTTTTGCGTTCGATAAAAAGAAAAGCCTTGGCGTTAGATGGCAAGATCTTTACTCCTGGCAAGTTAACTTAAAAAATTTTTTTTTTAATGTTCCGTACTTGTTATTTGCATTCATATTGTTTAAATTTGAACCATCCAGGGTCCGCCATATTTATGGCAACGGATGTTTCTATATAAAATAAATTGGTTTCTTGGAGACTTTTCTTTGATAATGAAGCCTAATATCATCTATTAATTCATCAATTTTATATTGCAGAAGTCTAAGGTGTCTAAATTTACTATTACTTATGGCAGTAGATAGAAATGCAATTGCATGTAACCCTTCATGAAAAGGGCAAGAGTAATTCAGTCATTGCAAAAAAGCTCCAAATTCGTCGCGAAACTGTCTGGAAGGTGGTAAAAAAATTCAAGGAAACTGGTAAAACATGCAATCGACCTGGTCAAGGATGATGGTGATGGTTTGGGAGGCGGTGACCGCCACTGGGAGGTCTCTATTTATTTTTGTCCCCTCAGGAGTGAAATTGAACAGTCAGCGATACATTTCGGACATTTTGGAAGCTGTGTTGTTGTTGTTACCTTGGGCCCGTAAACACTTGAAAGGCTCACCATGGAGTTTTCAACAAGACTCTGCCCCATCACATGGCTCAAACATGACCCAAAATTGGATTCAGGGTCACTTCCCAGCGTTCATTAGCAAAAATGAATGGCCCTCAATAAGCCCTGATTTGAATCCCCTCGACTTTTCTGTGTGGGCTATTTTAGAGAGTAGGGTCTGCAGAACACCTCATGATTCTTTGGATAGTTTGAAGTCTAAATTGACACGAGAATGGGACTTGATCCCTCAAGAAATGCTGCGTGTCTCCTGTGAAGCTTTCCCGTGTATATTGGAGGCCGTCTTTAAAAATAAGAGTGGTCATATTGAATAAATATGCCTGAGAATTGTTTAGGTAATTCTTGGCTACTAGCTCATCCAATAAAAAAACAATTCACCTGTTTGTTACATATATAAATAACAAAAACATGCGTTGCCATAAATATGGCGGACCCTGTATTAGTATTCGTGAGTGTCCACAGATTACTGAATCTGCTTTGGGGAATAAAGAAATGAAGATACGAGATTTTTGTGCCCCGAACAAATTCGGATAATGCTAACTATGAGCATGTCCGTCAGATTACTTAGACAAGGGTTGTAGAAATGGAATAGATAGCTAGGCTCTTTGATAATCATGTTATGAAATTTTCCAATAAATGAAATTATATATTAATTATATTATATATAATTATATATTATACATTTTCGATGCGTGCAAAGTCGAGGTCAATGCCGCTGTTGGTATTTGTTTCATCGGCGTACACGCAGACGGTGGCGCCAGTAAAGTCAAGGCCTCTGGAAGTTAGGATTTATACTGACATCGAAAAGATTGTAGTAAGGTACGATTACAAATCTTTTTTATAGTTATTCAAAATTTGGGGTTTCAACGAAATGAAATAAATGTTACCTAAAAACCTAATTTATTAAAGTTGTTGTTAAAATTATATTTTTTAGCATAATTAGGCATGTCATGAGTTTTAGTACGATAAAGAATGAGCTGCTGGTCAAGTTTGAGATTTTATTGAGATATAATTATTTAGCATTAGTTATAAAAACTTTTAATAACGGTGATATAATTAACTTGCCATCACCACCATTACGGGACGGCTGCTGAGACTCACGTATAGAAGGTCCACGCGGCCTGGCCGGTCACTATCAGGGACGAAACGGCCAGATCCAAGTCGCCCAATTGCGCGGCGTCCTCGTCGCCTCTGAACTCATCGCCGCGGAAGGACGTGCCTTCATACAGATTGTAATAGTCGTTGTTGAGGCCGTGCGGACTGCCGGCGTATCTGACCGACGACACCTGCGGGCATACAGATTGTAATAGTCGTTGTTGAGGCTCGACGACACCTGCGGGCATACAGATTGTAATAGTCGTCGTTGAGGCCGTGCGGACTGCCGGCGTATCTGAGCGACGACACCTGCGGGCATACAGATTGTAAAAGTCGTGGTTGAAGCGGTGCGGACTGCTGGCGTGTCCGAGCGACGACTCCTGCGGCAACGCATCACGCGGGGGAAGATATTCTATTCCAAAAGGCAGACAAAACCTATAATTTATTTTGTGAATAAAGTATAAGTATTAAAATTTTAATGAGCCTTATGACATTTCCTAGGCAGTTTATGGCATGCTTCATATTGTTGGTGATAACTCTAAAGTTGTGTCAATGTAGCGAGTAAAACCTGTGTTGTATGACAGCAACAACGATTTTAAAATCCAATATAATGCTAGTTTTATTCTACCTCCGCCAAGCTCGTGCATGAATCGATTGCATTTTGTTATTCTCACCATATTCTGGCAATATGCGGCCCAATTGCTACAGTAGTTTACTGCATGCCAAAGGCAGACAGCGGAGGAGTCCAGGGCGTAGTTCGTAGCGTCATAGAGCAGCCATCTGTGGATTTGTGTCTCTTTTCAGTACATAGCACAACCAATGAAAATGCCATATTGGTATTAGATAAGTTGATTGAGTATTGTGGGGGAAATTTTTCTAGATTAGATTTCGCCTATTCTGAGTTTCGCGAAGGATTTTTTCGCGAAGTTGGACATTTTTAATGCTTGTTTAAAAAATCACAATTACGACTTAATTAGCTCTGACACACGAGTTCCCAGTGAACGACTTATTTCTACAATCATCGAAAATTCGACAGGAGAATAAAAAACTGTGAATTACAACGAAAGTTATCCCAAACTTATCACTGAGTGCGAGGGAATACCTATATTATATCCAACGTTATGATGCCGTTCAACAGGCCATGTGATGGGACACGTCTTGCCAAAATACGAACGATGATATAGTGCATATGAGGTTACAAATTGACATTGCGCACAAACCGAATAATTCTCGGACCTTTTTATGAAATCAACGTTAAAAATTTTTTGAAGTTCTCTTGAAATGTTCAATGCACCAAATTAAAGGTTTCATTTTACGGCCGAAAGGTTTCATTTTACGGGCATCGAGTTCGTTGTTAGATTTGAATCTCACTGGGCTCGAAGTCTGATTTATAACGAAGTCTGATTTATATTTAAAAATTACTGAGGCGCCAAAAAAGCTATAATTTCAAATTTATGTGAAAACATCCAGAGTAGTTATTAAGTAGTTATTATTATTAAAAATATTTAGAAAACTGAAGAAAGAATTGCAAAAATCCGTCATCTACTTCGTTGTCGTAACAACCTACCCTCCCCTCGACAAACCAGTGATTTTTTCCTGTCAAGTTGGAGCTTGGCGATGTAGCTAGGTAACTATGATATGGTATCAAATTACCGTCCATTTTAGGCTGCACAGCCCTAATAGGGACATTCGCCACTAATTTAACAATTGTTTCCGCAGAATTCTGCAACATAACATAGCAATACGATTCCTTTGTAATTTCTTAGAATTACCTCGGTGTTTTCCTTGTTAATAAGCTCTTATCTTTCATTTATGTAGTACAGATGTTCACATCGAAAGCCAGCATAATTTCAACTCCCAAGTCCTACCTACATGATATTTTTTTGGCATAGTATTTTCCAAACTATTATAGAAATTTCACTTTCTGTTGTTTTCAGTTGATTACGCTCGGCCAATATTGAACTAATAATAATAATAGCGGTTTCAGCGTTTATTAGGCCGTAGGCCTGTCGCCGATTCTTAACATCGCAGAACATTCACAGCATTTTGCGCTCTCGGAACTCGCACCTCACTGCAACAATTCTGCTGTGCTTTACCGCCCGGCCTCCTCGCCGATTCTGACCAGAAACTGTAGCACAGAGCTGGGATCGAACCCGCGCCTCTCTGCGCCAATCTTGGTACTCTGCTGGGGCCGTATTATCAACACTTCGCAAGTACGCAAAATCGACTTACGAGTGGCGTTGCTATGACAACGTAATACTAACGGTGGTATTATAAAAACATTTGCGCGGGAAAAATTTGCGCGGGAAAAAAATTTAGGCTTTTAGCTAAGACTTGCGTACGAAAGTTTTGATAATGCCAAAATTAGGGTGTATTTACGTATACCACAGAACTTTTTGTCGTAAGTGCAAAAAGTTACGAAGTTTTGATAATCCGGCCCGAACTGTAACCACTGGGCCACCCTGCCCAGTCTGAATTGGCTTCCAAAGCTACTAGCAGGTCACTACAAGTGTTGAATCGCTTCAACACGTAACATAATTGCGTCTGGAATCGTAATGGAATGCTTTGCTGAACCCGACTGCAATAAGAGCACTCACAACCCAGTGCCACAGGAGCTCTCGATTGTGTTGTCCATCTGCACGGCGCTCAGGTCGGGTGTGTACTTCGTGAACTGGTGATGAATGCCGGATAAACCGAGGTCCGCGTAGCCTG